TATCCTGCTTTGTAATTCGAACTTTAATCATACACATGAGGCTTCTGCAAGGTCTTGCAGACTATTAACAGTGTAGTAGAAAGGAAATTCTAAATTAAATAGACTGTGCAATAAAGGAAGGCTAAAACATAGATCTCACTTTACAGTATTTAGGAATGCTGTGTAAATTACATGCAGGAAGTTGTGACTAGGGCCGTAGAAACAAAGTGATTTAAATGGCAGAGAATTGAGCATTAAGACTTCAGGGGCATGCACTATACACCAAAACTGCTTCATTAAGCTAAAGTTGTTTTGGTGACTATAGTGTTGGTTTAAGAAAAGTTGTCATAAATGGATTTTGTACAAAACAGAATTTCAAATCAATCCCAATGCAATGGATAATCATTAATAACACATTTTAATAAAAAAGGCATGATAGTTACTATCACCAGCATCTGATATTAAACCTTCGTTTGCCGATTTATCACACATTTAGGTAGATGAACGGCATAGAATTCTAAAATGTCCCAACTTCCCTCTTCCACACTAATGGAAAAATAAAACAAAAGTGACAGTTCAAATATAATAAAACTGTTTTACACACACTGATACCCACACTATTCCATCACACGCGGGCACACACACACACACGTGTATATGTGGGTGTCAGTATGTCTTTGTGTAGAGTATGTGTAGTAGTTAGTGTGTAAAGTGTGTCCCTAACACTGAATACAGCAACCCCAGAGTCAGCAGTCACCGGGCAGGAGGTAGGGAAGGAGCTTTTCACAGGCAGAGTAGGTGCTCCATCAGGCATGGGTTTGTTTTACAGATCTCTGCTATGCCTAGTGGGAAAATCACCAACAAAGTGCGAAATTCAATAATGTGGATCACAATAATATTAATGCACATGAACAAAAAAAAAATATTTGGTATAATATTCAATAAGCTTTGCATTATACGATACCTGCACAAAAACCTGTAATTATACATGCAATACGTGCAAAAAACATAAAAGTTTTTCAAATTTCTTAATTTACAATGTGCTAAAAAAAAAAAGTATTGCACAACAACACAAATATATGTGGAAATAGGCTTCAAAGTTCAATTACAACAATAGATAAATATAATACCCTTGAATAGTTATTCTTAATCGGCAGAAAAAGAGGAAAAGAACATACAATAGTGCAGATAGCACAAACAAAACATATTTGTATATATAAATGATGTATTCTGAACCTTGTAATGTGCCCACTAACATTTAATAGATACCTAAAATAGCTCGAGGACACAAGTAGTGGGGTCAGTCAGGGATAACTCCTCTCCTTTGCTTAACTTTACAGCAGGGGTTCTCAACCCAGTCCTCAGGACCCCCTACCAGTCCAGGATTTGGGGATTACCTGGGTGTGTCTCAGGTGTTTAGAAAAAGGGAAAAAACACCTTGGACTCTGCTTTTTCTAAACACCTTAGACACACCCAGGTAATCCCTAAACCCTGGACTGGTAGGGGGTCCTGAGGACTAACGTTGAGAACCCCTGCTTTACAGGGTTTCCTCTGAACCAAATGATATAACCGTAAAAAACACAAATATAGGAGCAAATATAGTGCAGCACCATTAGATAATAAAAGGTGAAAGTTAATAGGTTCCACTCACATGTACCAGAGCCTTAGGACTGTTTCACATCTAGCATGTTGGTGTCTATATTTTGGGTGAGACCGAGCCCTTGGAATGCAGCTTCCACAGTATCCACTTTTGCACTTGAATGTGTTATTTCAAATATATTGCCTATTCTAACACAGAGTATATTGAATATTTTGATACATAATTTTTTAAGGATTGTGTTCACACTCAGAATACAATGTTTAGCACTTTAGGTGCTATTTAATACTATTGTGAATCGAGTTACTGAATTTTGAGATTTTGCACTTTGTAAGCGTGTTCACATTTCACAGTGACATTTTTGGCCCTATATTTGTATATGAATCTGGTTTAAAGTGCTCCACTCCTTAAAGTGATTTTGGATGTTCAGGGTAATGTGCTTGAAATACAATATAAATCCAGCCCTGTAAAAAAAAAACTCTGTAGACAATATAGTGTAGAGTGTAAATAACCGTGGGTATTTTTCTTGTAATAGCTTTGATTGGGTCATTGAAGCAGCCATAATATTGTAAATTAGCGTTGGTGAGGATCGGTATATGCAGGTATATGACACCTAAAAGAATGACTCAGACCAGTTATTTAATGCCTCAGGGTCCCTTAACTTTAATATTGAGTGTATTTTAATTGTGTATAGGTACCAAATGCACTTGTTTTAACATATTACATAGGTTGAAAAGAGTCCATCAAGTTCAGTCTGAACTTATAACAAGAAGTTATTGCTTACAAATTAAATCCCTGAATATTGTGTTTTTATCAGTCTGTTTAAACATCTGTACAGACTGTGATAAAACCAACTTCTTATTGTCCGTACTGTAAAAAACCCTTTCCTTTGCCTTAGACTGGATCTCCTTTCTTCCAATCTAAATGCGTGTTCTTGTGTCCTATGTATACTTCTGTTTATGAATACATTTCCAAACAATGGTATGTATTGACCACAAAAATATTTGTATAATGCTATCATATCCCTTCTGAGGTGCCGTTTTTCTAAACTAAACTGATTTATATTTGTTATCCTTTCTTCATAGCTAAAATGTTACATTCATTTTATTAATTTTGTTGCACACTTCAGGTGCCCAAAATTGCACAGCATAATCAAGTTGCGGTCTTACCAGTAATTTATAATGAGGCAAAATTATATTCTCATCTTGAGAATTAATGCATACATGACAATATATGACGTTCATGTATTGTCATCTATGTATTAAATCTCATACATCAATGTATGAGAATTATATATACACATTAATATATAAGAATGAATGTTTTAATTCTCATACATTACAATATTTTACTGGCCTTAGCAACTGCTGTTTGACATTGCTGCCCAATTTGTCTATAACAATTGCCAAATCCTTCTTGTGTGTTCTTACCCTTAGTTCACTAATGTTTATGCTTGCTTGTGCATTCTTTACTCCAAAGTGCATAACTTTGCATTCATCTACATTAAAGGTAATCTGCAATTTGGGTACTCAGTCCCCCATACTATCATAACCTCTCTGCACAAAGTAATATCTGCTCACGCTACAGAGAGGTCATCTGCAAACACTGAAACATGACTTTCAATGATTGTTTCAAGATCAATTATAAATATGTTAAATAGAAGCAGTCCCAGAAAAGAACCCTAACGGATGCCACTTATCACGGTTTTGGTCTCTTTAGCGATCACTTTCTCATTTTCTAATTTAGCCAATTTTTTTTTAACATGCATTATTATTGGATTCCTTATATCTTATATGGAATGCTTCTGATTTTCCCAATTTAAACGCCCTTTTCTTATTTTTTATTTTTTGGTTTATTTTCCCACTAAGCCACATTGGTTTCAGTTTGTTACTCTTATATTTATTACCCAATGGTACATACTGAGAAATGTACCTTTCTAATATTTGTTCGAAGATAGTCCATTTATCCTCCGTATTTTTTTTACGCCAGTCAATATGTTGTAAAGCTGCTGTAATCTTATTGAAATTGGCCTTTTTAAAATTATATGTTTTAGTATAACGGCAAGGTCTATGCTTCCATATTGAAAGAACCACAAAATATGTAAGGACATAATTTTGTACTAACAAAGCTGTAAAGAAAGGTTTTGGAACTATGTTCAATAATAGAACTTTGTATTTATTTATTGAATACCAGTCTTGCATGGGGTTTGTTTTCACAACGTTATTATTAAATATGTTACGATACCTTTTGTATTTTACTGTCTTAACTTAATTTAGATAATTCTACATGGTGTGATAACATTTATCTTAACCCCTTAAGGACCAAACTTCTGGAATAAAAGGGAATCATGACATGTCACAGATGTCATGTGTCCTTAAGGGGTTAAATTGTCATGTGGTAGCTGTGTGATGTGCCATGTTTGGACCTGGATACAGAATGCATGGAACTACCCTATTATTTATTTAGTATTTCAACAGTAGATTATTTGTTATAATGTATAGTAACCATATTTGTCAAAAGAAATTAAGCTAGACAATTGATACTTAGAGTTATTTACTCAATTCCAAATATAATTTAGTTTACAGTGTAAAAAATGATTCATAGCAATCTGGGTACTTTCAGGCAAAACTCTACACACCATTAATCATATTTATTAATCTCTAGCCTTGTGGAAGGAAACATTTTTGTGCTGATTGACTGAACCATTTTGACCAAAAAATAAAAATAAAAGTTGGTACATTCCAAATTTCAGCCATATTGCAGTTCTGCCAATCTGAATTTCATTAATAAAAAAAGATTCATGAAAAATTTATGAAAATAGTACAAAACTTTGCCAATATACTGCAAAATACATACATAATGCAAATATTATATAGAAAACTTATCTAGCACTCTCCTCGAACAAAGCTCTTAGGCCAAGCCTCACCATCCTCATATAATATTTCAATAAATGGCTTCCAGAATGTGATTTATTGTGTAAAACACCAAACATGACATACACATGAAATGTCAGTTCACATGTAACTATTAATGTAAATATTATGTATATTTTCTTTTACACTAATAGCATTTTTTTCCCACCGTTTTGTTCACAGAATAAGTGAGAAAAAACAACCAATAGAATGAAAAAGAGTAGGGGAAGTAAAAAAAAATAAAAAAAATCTGTATTTGAATATTTTAAAATTATATAATAAATATATATTTTTTTTACTGTTTCTCCCTCTCTTTTGTTTACTTCCCACTTAATCTGTGAATAGCATCAACATTTACTGCAGAGGCGTAACTATAAATCCCTGGTGCAAAAATTGGCCGGGGGACCCCTTCGTGTCTCTTCCCCTAGCCCCCATGTGCTCCATTCCCTCCTCCCAGCCCCTCTCTGTGTCTCATTCCTTGCTTATGGATAGCTCACATTCATTCCTATGTTGGGATATGTGTCATCCAGGGTAGAGAATTGTCTAGTGTTAATCCCTTGTTGGCATGAAAGACAAATCCATTTTGAAGGCTCTTTCTATAATAAATGTGGTACAGATAGTTATTTGTTGAGTGACATTGAAGGTTTAGTCTCAGGAGGGAATCCGTATTCCCGTATGTAATGGATACTTCGTAAAGACACATGCATCTTTTTTTACCTTTAATGACCACAACTTATACGAAATTGTGGCTGAGTGTCTTAATAATTCATTAGATAAGTAATTTCCTTATCCATTTATTTTGAGTAAAGGTTTAGAGATTGGGTTTTATGCCTTGACAATGCTAGTGCTGTCCAACTGGCGCAGGGCTAGAGACGTAATAGCTTTCAACTCTTGTTTACTAGTCAACAATGTATTTGATGGTTAACAATGGCCCTGCAGATATTTGTCAATTTTGTTCCCCATGATGCTTAGCAGCCATCATGGGAAACAAAACTTATTTGACCTTGAATCACAATGACCAAAAAAAAAAAATCCACATGAGAATCAAAGCATAGGGGAGTGACAACTATTTCTGAGCCACCTGCAGGCTAGAGAACCCTTTGTCACGGAGATTCTCAATATTGTTTCAAGCACCCTGTTGTTTGACATACAGGATTTAAAGTGTGACCAGTAATAGTCAGGATTAGACTATTTTTCATTATCAATATAATAAGATGATTAACCTTTTTATAGAAGCAAGTTTCCTGTTATACAAATCGTTTCCTGTATATTTGTTTCAACTTTCCTGCAGCACAATGAATGTTTAAGGCATACACAACATGTAAAAGGTCCACACTAGATACCCTGCAGCTAATCTCCTGGGAATGTCACGAGTCATTAAAAATAGTGAAATACCAAACTAAAATATTTAAATGCATTTATTGTAGTACAGTAAAAAGACCTGTAACAGAAACAAAATAAATGCACTTCACTATCCTGGAGTCATATTGCACAGACTCTTAGCCATTAACACTTGATTGAGAATCAATTCCCCACTGACCCTTTCGTTTTGCAAATGCACTTTAGCTGTTCCATCTGCTACATAAACCTGAGAAAAGTTTAGGGATTAAAGAACCACCAGTCATGAAATGCTTCTTTACATCAGACAAAGCAAGCCTTTCCAGATGACCTACTTAAGATTATTTGATCCATATTTGACCTTGGTACAATGTCTTCCTGCTTTTTTAATTTTCTCTTTAATTTTAAGTTAGCACCCAATATTAAAGTTACTCTGTTACCTTCTGGGGTCTTGATTTACAAAGACTGCTCCACTTGCAGTGAGGTAGCTGGAGGATGCATGGAAAGATATGTTTTACTTACATTAATAGGTCCTTCATGTTTGCCTCCAGATTCTTCTACTGGGTCTTAATCTACCAAGCGATGATGTTGGTGCTGTATATTTGTGCATGCATGAGTAGAACAGAGGTCTTTAGAGGATCCCACGGGAGACTAAGTAGCCAGAGTCCTTTTTTTTTCCCCCCAGGCCATCACTAGTGACAGCTGGAGGAGTGATAGCAATACCTATGCCTTTTTCTCAAGCATGTGAAAAATACTATAACTGGGTTGGAATTTCACTGAAATTCACTAAACACTAGATTTTGTGAAAATTCTCAAATCCCAACAAGCAATGGCAATCCTTATATTTCCTAAAGCTAATTCAGGTTGGAATTTGGTCAGTCCACATATGCAGCAATTTGCCCAGATGCATTCAATGTCCGATTTAAAATTAGTGCTCCATTATACAAAATTATAGGATTCTGAACATTCATAAAGCACCGACTTAACTAAAACGTATAAGATTTATAGATTTCCCTGGAAAAGGATGGAAAGTTTCTTCAGTGTAAGCAAGGCTGCACTCATAAGAACCTTTTAGATGTACACACAATGATAACATGCAGCAAAAATGCAGGCATGATTTTATTGGGGTTATATCTACTAAACATTGATATTTTCTGATTCGTACATGAAATGGGAGGTTTATTTTATTTTTTATTTACCATTGAGCAGTTATGTCTTTTTTCAATTGAGTTGAAGGATAGACTAAAAATTTAATGTTACGGAGATAATGAGCAAAAAAAAAAATTCAACTTGGTTAAAAGTGATCTAGCCAGCTCAGAAATAGTTTCCAATTGCCTGAAAGGAGTCAAAGGGTAGATCTACACACTTGTTAAAAAGACATATGAACATTATAGCAAGTCTAAGCATCAATGTTGCTAATGAAGTGATTTTAGGGCATAGATGCTGCTCCTGCAGCCTTATAAATTAAGGCAGTACGGTTTCTGAGAATTGCACCATTTACCTTTTGCAATGCTTACATCTGCTAGTGTTTCAAACAGCCTCTAGGTGCTTCTGACAGAATTAGAATCAATACTTTGATATTTTAGTTGTGTTTTGTTGTCAGCAGCTAAATACAGCAGTTGAAGTACATGCGCCAAGTGTCCTCAATGTTCTTCAAAAATATGACAACTGTAATTAGGATAGATAACTTCACAAAGGAATGATTAGACACACTGAGAAGTCTGTCTCACTGCTAAAGAAAAAACCAAAAAAAAAAACCAAAAACAAAACAAACAAACAAACATGAAACAACCCCCATCCCAGCAAACAAGGCAGAGCAAAAAAACAAAAAACAAATCAAAACATTAATTTGTTGCCTTTAGCTATTGAACTACACCATGGACATTTTAGCAACAAAAAGTTATAAATAAATAAGGCAAAAAACACACAGGAACTTTATTGTTCACCTTTCATACAAACAGCACACCTTCAACTGGTTTCTTTCACAGCTTAACAATGTTTTTGTATACAGTAAACCCAACACAAAGCATCTTGAGGCTCTTGGTAAAGGCTTTATTATAAACCGCATACCCATACAGGATTTGTTTCTGCAGCATTTATAAAGGACAACTTTGGACATAAACCCCTTTTGCCCAAAGAGTAGTGCATTTCCTCAAATAAAGAGAAAAATGAAAAGAAAAAAAGTGCGCACAACAAATTAAAACAGAACAAAAACAACCACTTGATTTAATCAGTGGCATGAAGGTATGCGCAAATGATAAAGGTGAATTATCTACTCCAAAGTATTTTCAAGTAGACCACAGCTGTTAATTAGATCGGTCAAAGTGTATGTTCCTTTTTAAATGTAATCTAAGCGCAGATTAAATTCAAAAATGTAACTTGGTAACCATTTATTGCCAAAGCAGCATTTAGGACCCTTAGGGCATAATATGGCGTGGATTGCCAGAGGCAAAAGAAGGCTAGAAAATGCAGAAGAGCTCACATAACATTAACCAGTGTGGAACAGCACTGACCTCCATAAAACAGTAAATCTCACTCATGAAATTAATTTTGTTGTAGACTTTAAGGAATTCCTCAACTCATCATTGATATGAAGTTATCAAAAAAGCCATAAGGAAAGTTTGGGTCAATTTTTTTTTTTTTTTTAACAGGTGCAAGATTGAAGCACAAAAGCTTTGTTTCATCTAAATCATCAATGGCAAACAGTCTTCATCGATTAAGACACCCTAAACAGTTGATGTCATAAAGCCAGGAAGTCACGAACTAAATATTTCAAAGGACATCCTTTGCAAACCATTACTGAATATTTTATTGTATTGGTCATTACTTAAGAGCCCTGCCCTTATCAATTACTGCTACTGACCGGATGTGCTGTCCGACATATTTAGTTCAGAGCGCTTCAGGTGTACAATGCATGTGGACTGCAGTACTGGATTGTATGAAAGGTGGGTACAATGGATAAGGCTATCACTGCAGATTTCACTTCTTAAGGAGAAAAATCATATGGGGGAGCATTATTTGACTTTGTAAGGTTTAGACATGCATCAGGTTATATTGTTGCATTCATAAGAAGAAAGATATCCTGTTATAACTGATGCCTTAAAACAGTAACCCGTGTCATCAGGCTGTCACTCCTATTACCTGAGCTCTACTGAAATTTAAGCTTAAACAACCTCAACTAGTGTAGTGTCTTCCTTGTCCAAAGCCAGACTGGTTATACTGATAACCTCCGTGTTGAAAGTGCTGCTCAAACTGACCGCCCTGGTTATAGTTTTGGGCACCTCGTAATCCCCAACCTCCACCTTGTCCTCCTCTTCCACCACGACCACCACGGCCCCCTCTCCCACCTCCACGGCTGCCTCCCCTGTCATTGGGGTGACCACCGTCTTGATATCTGTTGTCTTGTTGATAACCTCCACCCTGGTATCCACTTCCAGAATAGGACGACCCTTGGTAGCCACCATATGCTCCACTGCTTCCTTGATATCCACCTTGGTAGCCGCCAGTTTGAACACCAGAATCTCGATAACCACCATCGTGATAGCCGCCTCCTGTACTGCTACCACCACCGTCTGTCCAGCCTCCTTGAACTTTACTTCCTCTAGTTCCTCTGCCACCATGGTCATAACTCCCACGACCACCTCCTCGCCCACCACTGTGGTCATAACCTCCTCGCCCACCACTGTGGTCATGGCTTCCTCTTCCACCACCTTGGTCATAGCCTCCTCTGCCACTATATGACTGCTCATATCCACCTCTTCCTCCTCCTCTGCTGCCTCCTTGTGGTGGTCCATCATTTCTCTTCTGCCAGGGAGGCATTTCTGGAGGAGGTGGTTCTATTTCATTTGGTCTGCCTCCTCTGTCTGGAACTCTTCCCATTAATACCTATAAAAGAAGCAGATAAAAAACAAAACAAAAAAAAAAACACAAAAATGGGTTATAATATGAATAGATGCAGTCAAGGATGCCATCCAATCACAGCCATGCTTATTTTAGTTATCATTCAACACAAGTGACAAATATCACATAAAAACCATGATAGATAGAAATGTATATACAGGTAGTAAAATAAAAATAAGGACGTTTCCCAGTCGCTAGTTAAGATTTGAGTAGTTAATAGCTTTTACAATTCCTGCTGCACATGCTGCTTACTCATAACAACTAACCAAAAATATAACACAAAATCTAAGCAAGTCTATATATGTTGCTGTACTCATTCATCTTCAAATAGTACATTTGCACAGTTTTGCAAAAAACTCTTCTAAGTTGTTCCAAATATCTTGGAAAAGTAACCAAAGTTCTCCTGTGAATTTAGGCAGCCTCAGTTCTGTCTCTTTATGTAATCCCAGATAGAATTGATGATGTTCAGATCAGGGCTCTGTGGGGGGCCATATCAAAAATCCATGAGTCCTTGTTCTTATTTATGCTGAAGATAAGTATTAATAACTTTGGCTGTATATTTGGGCATGTTGTAGAATCAATTTGGAGCCTCTCTAATGGTACCGTATGATGGATAAGTACCTGCCTCTACTTCACAGCATTGATGAAACCACTAATTCTTATCAATTTCCCAAATTTCAGCTGCAATTGTGCAAGGAGCCATGGAGTATGACTTTAAACGGTCTTCAGCAACCTTCCTTGTCTTGTTAATAAAGTTCCTGTTCCAATGCAGCGGTTTCTTTATCACTTGAAAAGGACATGCTACACCAAAAAAATAATTGTTTTTTTAAAAATCGCTGTTTAGTAGACATAACCAAAATGAAAAAATGTATGCTTTTGATTATGCATTCATTTTATTGGGCGTATATCTAAAAACTATTTGCAAAAGGAACAGGTCTCTTTTCTGCGTCCTCTGCAAGTTCTCCTATTCTAGCCTGTCTCAGACTCTATGGCTGTCCAGTCATAGGCAGCTCATTGAGAAATCTTTCCAAGACAGATGCTCTGGGCAATTGCTGCCTCTTGAGTTTAGCTCTTCTGAGCTAACTAAACCAGGAAATACTGGACCAAAACTACTATTACACGGTGCAGGCTTCATTTAGAAGATGTTCTGTCTTAAATACATATTTGTATATGTCCCCTTAGTAACACTGCTATTTTACTTTTTTTTTTTAATGATGTGACTTAAAAGGTTACTCCAAGCAATACGACCACTTCATAATTTCAGCTAAAGCACCTGCAGTATGTATCTACAGCGTTTCACTATGAAGCGCTGCACATAGGAAGATTAAACAGTCTGCTGCCCGAGGTGAAAATCCTTCTTTGGCAGAGTCATTAGGAGTCACTCTAGATCCGGACTGACTAATGTAAATTCTGGGCAAAACATATCTGTAACACCAGCAGCTCCTTCCATCCCCCAGTGCTGCCCTTGTCCTCTCTTGTGTCTGCCAGCCAAGGCAATGGAAAAGAGGTGTAAGCTCTCTTTTTTTTTTACCCTTAGCAACTACTCTTTAACTTAACTATTCTTTAATTCCTTAAACAGTTCATTGCCAGGCGATGTATACACGTTTGTGGTCCCAAATAATTTTATTTGGCAACTTGTCAAACAAACAAGCACAACTTGTCACAATAGGCAGGCTTCCCAACAAGTGTATCATGGGAACACAATCGCAAGGTTGAGGAAACTGCTACCTCATGTGCAAACTATACTTATACTTGCCTACCTCTGTTGTGCACTGGACCTCCAAGTCTGTTGTCATTCCAGAACAAGGTCTGGTCTGAGGGCAAGTCCTTTACGTGTAGCTACAATGGCAGGTATGTAGTTCTTTCCAATATTTTTGTTAACAAGATCGCATGGGAAAAATATAGATATAGCTTTTGTACATGAAACTGTAAGTATTGTCCTAGTTAAATATATGTCAAACAAAATATAATACTGTTGTGGTTATAGCTTTTTATTAATACCTCAACAGAATTTTGAAATGACAAGCTAACTTAAGGGTTTGTTATATTGCATCTGTATCTCTTGACGGATATGGCTATTCATAAAGTTTTAAACATTTTATATTAATATCATAACTATTAATTTTATATTTTCCTATTTGAACATAGAGATCAAGCAGCTTATGAGATAATAAGTCACCTTATTTATAGCACAGGCAGTTTTTTCCCGGATTGATCCGCTGCTAGTTCTCAGAATCTTTGACAAGTCATGGCGGGCTGCTAAGAGATGCGCCACAGAAATTGAGCCTTTCGCTGCCAATAAAGCCCTCCTTGGCTGGTATGCTTTTCCAAGTTTCTCAGTCTGGCTCTGTTCCAAGTTGAAGAAAATAAAAAATAAAAAAAAATAAAATAAAAAAAAAAACAATAAATAAGAACTCAGAAATCAGTTGATAATTAGCTTCCATATTTTAAAGTTAAAGAGACACTAAACTGACCAGAATAACTACAGCTTATTCGTATACATTAGTCACAATTGTTCTGCCATTGCAGAGCGAGCAGTAGTAAGACATAAAGCATTAAAGGTGTAACATGTTCAAGCATGGCATTCATTCTCATTGCATAATTTTTTTGTATGATTGACTGTTCGGTTGTAATGATGGGAGGGGGTGGGGTTGACAATGGCTCAAATGCGTCTTATGTGTCATTGGCAGATTATTATTTTTTTTTTTTATAAAACTTACCTTGTTACAAATCAACCAGGAAGTCTGCAAATGAAAACAATAAAAAGCAGTATTGTGAAACAAAGACTTACCTTAGCACGATCGGACCAACCAAATGATTGTATTGTTACATCCAAACGTTTAATCAACATTTTTCTGCGCACTTCATATTCATTGGATATGGCTTGGTTAATTGCTTCAATTTTTTCCTAGATAATCAAAAGACAAACATTAGGCACCAGTACACAGTACCAGTGTATTAGAACAGTGTAATTTAGTATGTCACAGACCATTAACAAGAAGCAAAGAGTCTTTTTATTAGTAATAAATAATTTCATGGCTCTCTTTGTATTAGACGTACAAATGAGTCCTAGTGCACTTAAGACAGAAACAGAAAAGTGTTGTGATTATTCAGAAAGAAACAAAAACAGTTGCTGGCCAGGAGAATAGCATAGACTACCAAAAACCTTTATTCTCTCATTTTTCATCTTCTTTCTTCCCCGTCAGCCACCGTCATGCTTTGAAGCAAGACTTACTAAGTTTATGTGCTATACTATATGGACAGTTGAAGCAAGTAATGTTTTTCAGACTTTACAAATTAATAAATCAGAGTGCTTCAAGGAACCATTATTTACTTTGACAACATGTATAATTTAATAAGAATACTAGCCAGCTTCTGAATTTGGGCTATCTTTTTTCCCTCTTGTATGAAGCGATTCTGGCTCTAAAGGTTGAAAAGTTCTGGATATGTCTTTGGCAATCAAATATATAAACACTCACAACTACACAAATGTTTAATTTAAATTGAGCTAGACAACATGCTAGTGGGTCACAAATATATCTAGGATAGCTCAAATCCTAAATAAAAACCCTGAGCAATCATAGTTAGCTCAAAGCCTAAGCAATAACCCACGGCAATCATTGTTCTTACATCAGATGATAGCAAGGAACATGCAGAAAAAAAATCCCCTCAGATCAAATACTGCAAAAGAATGCGACATTTGAGCAAAATGAACAACAATCACCCATGGTGATCTTTAACCCCTTAAGGACCAAACTTCTGGAATAAAAGGGAAGCATGTCACACATGTCATGTGTCCTTAAGGGGTTAAACAGGTTAGAATACAAAAAAAAAAAAAAAGCGCTCTGAAATAACTTAAAATGGATAACTCTGCTTAATGCGGACAATGAAAAGAAAAATAAATTGTAACCACAACACCAGGTAACAAAAAGCAGGATATGTATTCCACAACAGTGGAAGCCGCAATTTTTCAAGCCTACAGGGTCTGTGTCAACCCAGGTTTGCTAGTAGAGTCGAAACGTTGCTGAGTGCACTGTGGTGGAATATCCTACTTCTTCTTATCTGGTTACCCATTATATTCATTTGTGAGGTATTGGGACACTAACCTCCAAGTCCTGCACCTAGCTACACACTTTGAGTGCCTGTTCCCCTTAACCTATCTGTTTAATGCTGACAAAAAGAGTGTCACATTTTATGTGATACCCTGTAAATATAGCAAAAAACAAATTATATACAGTATTTGTTTTCTTTAGAAACGTTGATTTTGCTTACCTTTGAGTAAATCATTCTAGTGAATCCCTCACCCACCACCCACCAATCATTCTAGTGAATCTCTCACCCACATTCATCTGTATAGATACACTCCCTGCACAAGGACACTTCCCCATGCACAGTAGTACTCCCAACTCCCTGCAGGATAGCTGAGGGAGAGCAGGAGAACCCCCTGAAGTATGAATTTCCACTACTCTATGCCAGTCATACTGATATGCTTCTACTCATATAACTGAAAGAGCAGGTACAAAATTTCTATCTAGAAGTTGCTGTTTCACGCCCCCTCTCACTCTGTGAGAAATTCAAATAGATTTACTTACCTTATATCCTTGTAGTGCCAGTATAGGTATTTAAACTAGGCATTTAAACTCTCTTTACCTAGGTATAATGCTAAGGTACAACATTCAAGTTTTGTAAGAATTTAGTGTTTGCATTGTTTATCTAATTGTAATTTAAACCCTGCAAAGTATACATTGCCATTCCTGCAGTATGGCAATGTTTTCACTTGCAGGATTAAAGTGACAGGGACATGGCACCCAGACCACGTCACTGAGCTGGAGTGGTCTGGGTGCCTATAGGGTTCCTTTAAATTAAAATCTATACATTTACTAGCTTAACAAACAAGTGACATTGCATGCTCTTTAATTTAAACCAAAGATGTATGTGCCATACAAGTACACTTTAAATAGTAAAGACAATATATATCATGTAGCTTATTATAACAAGGCGAGACATTAACACTGTAACTTTTACCAAGGTCAATGTAAAGATTATTTTCTATTTGTTAGGTTCAAAGAGCAGTGATTTCATTACCAGTGAAAATATATGATGCGGATAAAAACTGGCGAACTGAAAGAGAAACAAAAGCATTTCATTTTTGCAGTACCATTTCCTTTTTTATTTATTAAGACGTACATAAAGAGACTTAATATTCAAAAGAGGAGCATGATAGACTTCGCTCAAAGGGACACTACAGTCACCAGAACAACTACAGCTTAATGTAGTTGTTCTGGTGTCTACAGAGAAAAGGCAGTGTTTACATTACTGCCAAGTAACACCTCAAGTGGCTGTCACAATGTGCATTACTGATTTTCAACGTCTCCATGCTCTGCATGGAGGCCCTGAATGCTCCTCATAGAGATGCATTGATTCAATGCATCTCTATTAAGAGGTGCTGACTGGAGCAGCGCAGCATTTTGCCACGCATGTGCAATAACCTCCCAATGTTTTCCTATGGGAAAGCATTGGATTAGCGGAGATAATGAAGTTCAATGATCTTAGCCAAGGGGGTGGAACCAGCCATGATGAGACCCGAGTGGCGCTGGAAAAAGGCAGACAAAAATCACATTTTAATGAAGGTGGGGGGGGGGGGACTGGCCATCTAAAAAGTATTTTTTGGGAAATGCCCATGACCCTGATGCAGGTTCACCAGTTATCCTTATGTAACCACTTCTGGTAGGTACTAACCATTTTGGTAAGTTACATACAGGGCACACCCTACAAGACTTCTTTTCACCTGCCCATTTTTCCTGCATCCAACACATGAAATTCAAGAACTGACTGTTCACTTGCTGCCTAATATATTCCACCCTTGACAGGTGCAATTGTAACAATATAATCAATGTCAGTGTTTTTAATGTTGTTGTTCTAAAGCATTTTCAAAATGGGAGGCCAATGATAGGCTTTCTGCATAGAAGCCAGTGCTGGAGGAGGAGGCAGAAGGGTCAGAAGAATGGTTGCCATCACCAGAACATTGTTATAAAATGGCAAACCCCTTAAAGTAGGAAGTAGTTCTGATGAGAGTGTCCCTTTAAATTTGAAATTCACAGCAGTTCTCACTTTAGTGAATAACCTTATAAGTATAGATGGGTGGGGCAGTCGAGAAAGTTTGCATTGCAGTAGCTATACTAGGGAAGAAGAAAGAAAACAAAGTTAAACATAACAAATCTAGATTTTTTTGTGATTTTCCCATCACCTCGTAAAAATGTTTTATTTTTTTTTACCAAGTTTAATAGCCACTGAGCTGTATAATTATAGAATATTCAGTACTAACAAAGAAGAATAAGACTAGCCTAAGCATTAAACGGTTAAACCAGCAAATGTTTATATTGTAAAAAAAAAAAAAAAAAAAAAATGACGTTACTCACCCAATGAGAAGGGCCCAATGTCTTGCTTAAGAGGGGCTTTCCTAAATGATTAGGTGGCACTTTTAAAAAGGTCTCCTTCAACTGCAAAGAGAGTTATTAATGTATCTGTGATTAATATGTTACTGCAAAAAAAGTGGGTTTAATGTAAACATTCAAAGGGACTCTAAACAGCGAAAACACTATAGCGGTTATGTTGCAGGTATGCCCTTAATGTTATTCCCCCCTCTTTTGCTTGAACCTAGTTTCGAAAGATCTGATACTAAACAATGGTCCCTCAGTACCAATATCAATTGTATCCAAGTGTGGACAGCATTCAATGGATAATCAGACCAATGTGCCCAACTAATGCATGTCATCCAAATGAAGACTGAATGGACATTCTCTGCACAGACCTTTAATTTCTGCTTTTAGCAATATAGACAGTGACTGGTAAGGCTGCAGATGCCCAAGGACACGTAAACCAAAATTCACCTCTTTCATATTAAATGCACCAACACTTATTAGAGATATATATATATATATCTATCTATCATTTGTTCAGTAGAAACAGGGACTTTCATTTCACAAGTATTTATATATTAAACAATTTAATATGAAACAAATTTTTAAAAATTTGAGAAATTAAGAATGTTTTAATTTTTTTTAGTTCTGCATGGCATTTTAACTGTGCAGGTCATAATACTGTTAGCGGTTACTGCAATAAAGTACATATTTGTATTCAGCAAAGTCTCACAAGCACAATAGCCCACACCCACCTCCCCCGCATGTACAGGTTTTATGGTGTTTTGAAAAGCTACAGAGTCAAATATAGCAGAGTACATTTTTCAGTTTTTTCACATTGAAATTTGCCAGACTGGTCATGTTGCCTTTGAGACCGTACGGTAGCCCAGGAATGAAAATTATCCCCATAATAGCATTCTTTTTTAGTAGCCACTTAGTCACAAACACTTGCCATCTGGCAAATTTCTATGTGAAAAAAAAAAGGAAATGCAAGCCTTACATTTGAGTCTGTAACTTTTGAAAACACCATGAAACCTGTACATGGCGGGTACTGTTAGACTTCGGAGACTTCGCAGAACACAAATATTAGTGTTTCAAAACAGTAAAACGTAGCACAACACTATCATCAGTGAAAGTGCCGTTTGTGTGTGAAAAATGCAAAAAAAACTGCACTTTCACTGATGATAACATCGTTGTGATATGTTTTATGGTTTTGAAACAATAATATTTGTGTCCAGCCAAGTCTCCCGATTTAAACAGTACCCCCCATGTTCAGGTTTTATGGTGTTCTGGAAAGTTACAGGGTAAAATATGGGGCTTGCAAGCCAAATTCTCTTGACTGTGTCTGGGTTTCCAGGCAGGTTCCTCATATTGTATTTAATAAAATTACTTAATTATCTAAAACTATTATATAAATATATTTGTAGAATTTAAATATATATGTGTGTGTATACACATACACACACACACACGTATTTATAACGTCATTCTAAAATATGTTTTGATCTAGATACATATGTATATTAATATCAAAAATAAGAACGAATTTAAACAGGTATAAATTTTTTTTTCATTTTATTGATTTGTAAGGAAAAGTCCAGATCTGGGACTGAAACGTTGATTATACAAGGCATCTTTTTATGTGAACAAATAAAAGTTATGTTTTAAGGAGACAGAGTGCGGACCACCACTTTGAATTTATCTATATGTGGATGACCTGGATCCAGCACCCAGCATGTAAAGGATTGGGATTGTACAGCCTGAAGTGCAAGGAACTTTTGGAAGAGATATATGTATATATAAATATAAATATTAAAATGCACTCTTTATAATAATGTATGTGTATGTTTATATAAAAGTACTTAGATCATATATATTTCCTGGCCATATCCATGGCAGCACGACAATGGGTAGCTCCTCCCTATCCCTAACCAGACATGAACCTAATTAAAACAAAAGGTATAAGTAACCCCTCCTACCCTCTTTTTTTTTCTTCCTGTCCTATCACTAGGACAGACTTAGTCATTCTAAGACTAGATAATTTTTCTTTTTGGCTTACCTGAGGGTTGTTGCCTTCTTCCTCAAGGGAGTTCAGCATCTCTCCCTTGGGAAGTCTTCAGTACACGGCTCTGTGCAAAGGTGACCCCCTGAAGATACCCCTTTAGTGACCGGGGGTTTTACTTGCTGTGACCCGATGGGGTAGCAAGATCATGCCATCACGATAATTCCTGCAGTGACCAAGGGGTAGCAGGCTGGGCATGCACATACAGAGCATATTGGTTGTAAGAATAATATGACATTGACTAACATTACATCGCTGAAAGAGTTAATGTGAGATGGACTAGCATTCCATCACTGAAAGGGTTAAAGTACAACTCTATCTTGTACTTTCCCATGGATTTACTTGCTGTGAACCTAAAGGTAGCAAGATTATGCCATCAGCCTATTTCATGCAGTGACCAAGGGGTAGCAGGCCAGACATGCACATTCAGAGCATATGGATTGCAAGGATTCTATGAGATGGACCAACATTTAATCCCTGAAAGAGTTAATGTGAGACTGACTAGCATTCCATCACTGAAAAGGTTAAAGTACGACTATCTTGTACTTTCTCATGGATTTACTTACAGTGGCCCTAGAGGTAGCAAGATTATGCCATCACCCTATTTCCTGCTGTGCTCCAAGGGGTTGCAGGCTGGGCTGGCCAGGCACATCCAGGGCATATATGGATATAACTGTTTCTACCCTTCATCTAAATGGTAAGAGTTTCCTGCTAATTTGAATTCAATCAAACCTATTCCTAGGCCTCTGTGTCTTTTAATATATCCACTGGAATCACTTATTTCTATGCCTCTATGGATTTTAATATATCCACTTGAGTCACTTATTCCTATGCCTCTGTTGGGCCTTTTAATATAGCAGCTGGATTAATTTTTTCCTAGGCCTCTGTTAAGACTTTTAAAATTGCTACTGTCACCTATGTGTATGTCTGGTGAGATATTTCAGTGGACTAAAACTCTGTCAGAAAAATCTGTACCTTTGGGGGTCACAGGTTCAATTCCCCTCAGCCCTTCATCCTTTTAGGTAAATAAAAGGAGTACCATTAAATTGGTTAAAAGTAACATCCCTGGTAGGCTCTTGGAAACAAGAAAATGTCTCTTTCCTGGTGAAACATTTTTCCAGACTTTTTTTTTTTGGTACATTTGAGTTGGTCAATTTGCTAATGTTTCAATAATGGGCAATCAGTTTTCCCATTTCCATTTCCAATGTCCTTATGAGGTGTATTGTCGATTTGCATTCATATTTTGGAAGTCTTGTGTATTTCTTCCCTCCCTTGGTTTTGCTTGGGTATTACCCATTGTTGTGCTGCCATGGATATGGCAAGGAAAGAGGAAAATGTATTCCTACTTACCGTAATTTTCTTTTCCTGGTTATAGGCCATGGCAGCACAAAGATAATCCTGGGATAATGCTGGAAACAAGACTGAGGGTGGGAGGGGTAGAAGGTGTCACTTACACTTTCTGTTTTAATTAGGTTCCTGTCTAATTAGGGAAAGGGAGGAGCTACCCATTGTTGTGCTGCCATCAGTGGTGTATTTTAAAATGGTGCTGCCCTAGGCATGACAGATTTTGGGCACCACCTAATGTAAACGTATCCACCACTTCCTGCCAAGGACACACCTCTTCCTGCTAACTTACACACATTTTGACTGGGACACACACGCATGGACCAGCACACACTCTCAGATACACTGACATTCACTCACTGATTTGACACAATCTGACACACATACAATCATTTAGACACACGCTGACAGACGCATTCACTCACTGACAGACGTTTAGAGACACCACAAAAAGGATGGCATAGAACACCCGCCGTCCTTAGTGGGTAAAAACAGAACAAAATACAACACTAGGGCTATAATGGCATCATAACCTCTAACAGGCTGTAGTGACTATGGTACTTAGAGAGCCCCTTTAAGCACCCACACTAAGGAAAAAAAGAAAAAGTTTGAGAACTACTATTTTTTTATATATTTGAAAGAAAACTATGGGGTGAAATTGACACCTTATATTTTAATGCAGTATTTTGTAATGCATTTAAATAACTAATGCAACAAGAATCAAATCAATTACAAACAAGACAAAAAAAATAAATAAATATATAATTTATATCTATATATATCCAATTAGGTTATGGTGGGGAAAAATTGTGATTGAAAACCCCTTCCACCTGAAGTCTGTGGATAGTTAATACAATGTTAAACAAAAATCTGCACACCAGTCAAGCCATAAGACTTGCTTTTCCCACAGAAATCCCAAATCTGCAGTGATGTTAAAACCGCAAAGGATTCTGGGTGGGCATATGCAAATTAGTTTAACAAAGAATCACATTTTGCCTCATTCCATTTTAAACATGGATTCCTTTTAATCTGTGTTTGCAGTATACAACTGCTTGGAACACAATTTAGGAAAAGATGCAAAACCAGTGAACCACTCATGGACAGCTGTTTCGTTGTTAATGCAACTCTTCAGCATGAGGTTGGTTACTGGTTTGCTTATTGAGGCTTGGTAGTGCTTGGGAAGCTTGGGATTTTGCTTCCCAAGCACTACCAAGCATCTTTTCCTAAATTGTGTTCCAAGCAGTTGTATACTGCAAACACAGATTAAAAGGAATCCATGTTTAAAATGGAATGAGGCAAAAATGTGATTCTTTGTTAAACTAATTTGCATATGCCCACCCAGAATCCTTTGCGGTTTTAACATCACTGCAGATTTGGGATTTCTGTGGGAAAAGCAAGTCTTATGGCTTGACTGGTGTGCAGATTTTTGTTTAACATTGTTTTAAAACTATATATATATATATATACATATATATATATATATTTTCAAAATTCCTGGTAGAATCATTTGTTAGTGGGCCTTCCAGCACTTTCTAGTATAACACTCCCACACCAGATAGAGATACTTCAATCAGGAGCATCTCACTCTGCTCTATGGGGGTCTTTTTTTTATCCTGGAAGCCAGGGTTCAACAGAAGTTTATAGGATATGTAGTTTACCCCCACAAAACAGTTCCGTTCTTTACAAGATGAGCGGAAATGCTCTAAAACTTGATAGCAACCACACTGAGATTGCCATTAGTTTACACAGTCTAGTTTACTGTCTAGCTTTAACTACGGAATTCTACCTCTAAGGCACTAAATTGTAACTTAGACATGCTTATATTGCATGCAGGATGGTCAGTCATATGTAACATATTTGTCCTTTTAGGACAAAATAATTACTTGGAGTTGCTGTGTTTACCAGCCTGCATAGGCAATACCAACCTGATATGCTTATGGAAAGGTTTTTCTCTGTAAAGGCAAAGTTAAGTAAAACTCACCTGAAACTAATACATGTACATAAGAGTCTATTTTCTCATTCCAACCAAAGTAAATTTTTCTGCAATTTAGGAGTTAAATAACTTTGATTACGCAGCCGCACCACCCTCTTACCTTTTTTTCAATTCCACTAAAAAATTGGAACATCGTAATGTTGGCAGGAGGTTTAGACATTCCCAGTGTCATGCATATGCTCTTGAGTTCGACAAATACCTCACTACCACCACCATCCTTCTCCTTCTTTGAAGGCATAGTAACACAAAGCATTCTAGCAGCTTCAAGTTCAGAAATGAGATATGCTACAAAAACAAGAAAAAAAAAAAAAAGAATTCTTATTGATCAGATTAACAACTGTTTCCCTTCATGTAGAATTGAGATGTTACATTGCAGTCTCTTTTAAAATCTGTTCACGTGATATAGCTCATTAAAAACTCCAAGCACCATGACCACTTCATCATGTTGTAGTGGTCCTGGTGCAAGATGCCTGTATGTGCAGCATTTCAGTATGAAACATTGCACAGACAGATATATTTTTAATTCCATCCCCGGCAGCATCATTAATCAGCCTGAACTAGAATTTTGGGCTGGCTAAAGTCAAAACGCTCTTAGTCAATGATTGACCAAGAGTACTCTCAGGCAAAGGATGAGGAGCAGGATTGGCATTTGATGGAGACAGTAAAGCCTGCGTCAAAAAAGGCTCGGCACCCAGTGTGACCAGGTAAGAGGGCAGACCGTTGCAAACCTTTGGCCCATTACTAGGGATTGGCGCCAGAGAACTCCTAACGTTATAACCGCTACAGTGGGCTTTAGTGGTTATGATATTTAGAGCTACCTTAGATAAGTCCTGAGCTTTTACACCAGAGCTCAACAAATCTCAGGCACCAAGTCGCTATGGCGACCAGGAAATTTGTCCTGGCGTCTGAGATTTGTGAGCCGAGGTGACTGGCTGCCTGAGAGCAGAGGCGTGCAGTCTGATCACAGAGGGCTGAGGCAGGCAGGCGGCTGACAGAGGGAGGAGGGAAGCCATCTCCTGTATTGCTGAGGCAGGTATGGAGAGAGGTGGGAGGCTAAGGGAGGAAGGGGAGCAGCCTGTTTACGGATTTGTGAGGGAGGTGGGCGGCTGACAAAGTGCATTACAGTTCATGCATTGGACTTACTTAGCAGGAGAAGACAATTTCTTTTGTCCAGGAGGCGTTTTGTAACATCTCCTGATGTTAGACAGGCATATGGACAGCTCATTTCGGTTAAAAGACCGCTCATTTCTAGTTGGAATCCTTCCGATTCAGCAGGGCCTGTGACAAAATAAAAATATTGATATACTTTGTAAAGATATTACTTTGAGATACGGCACGAAAATATATATTTGCCTGACATTTGTGCCAAAGGCGTGTGCAATGCCCATTATTAAACAATAACAGCAAAACTAACTTTGAGAATACTTTGCTTGAACAGTGATTAAAATTGGCATGTGTGAAAAAAAAACCTGAATAACATGGAAAATTCCACATCTGTAAAATATACAGTTGTTTTGTTTTGACTATATAGGTTATGGCACAAAAATAAATCCAGTCTAAGATGCCAAGGATAGTGAGCATACACACTACATACAGCCAGCCAGCATATATCACACATCACACTTCCTACATACAGGCAGAACACACCACCAGGTGTGTGGAATTCCTATCATCTGACACCTGGGACCAGCAGTTTTATGTGCCAGACAGGATCTGCAACATGCAAACAGCAGTCCTAACACAGTAGTGGGCCACGGAGTGTGTGATTTAAATCTCTGGCAGGAGCAAAAAACAGTAATTGTTCAATTGCAGTCCTATACTCACTAATGAGCGCTGGACCACAAGAGAGCGATTACCGGAGCCTACACCTAGCACACACAGCCTCTACGCCCAGCCAGCACACACACAATGAGAGAGGACAAAGTGCAATGCACAAAAGTCCCAAATTTTGCAAATGAAATCCAAATGGCAAAAACAAAAAAAACAAAAAACAGTTGTGACTACTGCCAAGCTGGAGATTTTTTTTTACATGTCTGGTTTTCTTTTTTTTGCCTATGCAGAATTAATTAGGGACAATTCAAAGTTAAGTGAATAACCCTGTCAATGTCCAGGTCTACGCTAGGTCTCTTAAGTTTCTAAATTAAATTATTTGTGTCAGCACATGTAGAGTGTCATGACGAACAATTCTGTCTCTTCGGCAAGTAGATTTTTTTTTATTTTTTTTTTAAAGTTCACACCCCTTACAAGTTGAACTAATTAGACTTTCTTCTAGGAAAAACAAAAAACAAAACACAAAACCTACCTCTGTGTTAGAGAGAAGGATCTTTGTCCTAAAAGCCTTACTGGGTCATTCATTGGTCTGACTAAGTGAACCATGTGCAGGAACTTGAGGATAGAGATCAAAGCCATGTATTTCTATGTGGAGAGCTCTGTGCTTATTACCATTCTTTATTATTTATAATCACTGTAGAATTACCTGTAAAGTGTACGCATTTGGACATCACATGCATCACTAATAAAAACAATGGGCGGGTTACTTAATGACTAAATTGTGAAAAAAAAAATTTACTTTTTTTTTTTTTTTTAAAGCTGGTTAAGTTACCATGTTGGGTCAATCCGATCGATTGCTGGTCAATCTAACTCATCTGGGCAATCACATCAATGCCCTGCAAGCATTTTAGCAGTATTCAGTCCTGTCAGTGTGTGTGCCTGCTCTGTCACCCCTGCAGCCCCCTCAGCAATCACATCATTGTCCTGCAAGTACTTTGTAGCAGCTTGCAGTCCTGTCAGTGTGTGTGACTGTTTTGTCACCCAAAGCATTTAAAAATAGACATTTGCAGAGGGCAGAAAGACTGCTAAGCACAGCGGGCATGTTCACACCAGCTCTACAGTATATTAGTGTTTATTATTTATATCGAACCTTAGAGATTATGATAATAGAAATAAAAAATGTAAACTCTCAGACATTGGCAATATCCTTTTATGATGGTAGGCAAAAGATGGCTCCCACGGGTAACTCTAGAAGTGCTTCAGCCAATAAAAGGGACATTCAAGACCTTTTACTAAACATTAAACAAATCTTCCCTACTGACTTGGCAAATTGCATACACTTCCGAAAAGCATGAAAACCACAGAGTAGGACACTTTTGATCTACAGTTATAGCAAACACAACAACCCTAACAATTTTGCACATGCAGCAGCATTCCAAATATCAGATCAGGGGTATTGCATAGATGACATAACAACAGGGGAACAACCTGAATACATAAGGCAACCTGTTTCATCTATACTACCCCATAAAAAGGCCAGACCTTAAATGTTGATGTGGCCTATTGTATAGCTAAATCTCCCACAGCACCATCCACTGTTCCTCACAATATTATTGTTACTTTAGCTTCATCTGTGATAAGACTGAGGGCATGCATGGCTGCATTGAAGAGAAAAATCACAAAAGCCTTTGATTCTTCTAGACTCACTTTTTGCTTGACCTGTTCCGCTATACACTCTGCTAGGGACAAACCTTCCGGGCTGTCACACATTGTTTAAAAGTGGTGGGGTGTTTCATAAATTGGGGATTTCCTAGAGTTCTTCTAGTGAAAAACAAAGGCATCCTTCACCTTTGCAAACACCTGAATATTCCTGCAAAACATTCTTGGGATGTGGGCAATATTAACTTTGGGCCAAAAGTAGGACCCACCAGATTGCACTCTTCTTCCGACAGTAGTGGGATTAGTCCTAAATTGATTTATTTGTTTGATGTCTCTTTTAGATCACCATTTGGGTTATCGATTTATTATGCCCATGTAGATTGTCTTATTTTACAATTGTTGTAGTCTCTTACAACTGATGACTTAAAAGGTTTCTCTAAACACCATGACCACTTATGATATTTTGAATTGGTCATGGTGGTAGGAGTCTGGGTGTGCAGTGATTTAGCTTGAAACACTGCACATCCAGAGATATTTTTAGTTGTGTGTCCAGGGCTAGTTGCACAGATATAGGCTTATTAACCAGCTGGTTTGACACGTTATACAACGGAGTGTTTATTCCCTTAATACTAGTAAAAGCTCCTATTTTAGTTTGTTTCCATTAACCCTGTATCCTGCTGAAAGTATTAATCATGTTTTCAGTGGGTGTTACACTTGCTGTAAGACACACCTCTCCCGCATACCCTTGTTTTGAAAGCAGACTTGTTTTCCATTAACAGATTAAAAGTTCCATACACTTTTAAGTTGACATTATATCTCTCTCTTTGCCCAGTCTCAAATTGAATGTCCACAGTTGTTGCAATAAATCATTCTCTCTCTCCACACTGCTGGTGCTGCTCTCACGCAGAGCTTGCCCCCTTTCCTTTCCCCTTGTAGGCATTGCTTTCCTTTAGGTTTAAGTCAAGCAGGAGGGACAACCAGAGATGTCCATTTTCCTGATAACAGGCATGCAGAGCAAGCCTTCTGAATTGGTACAGACAGAATTGCGTGAAAGGTGAAGGAAACAGTTTTGTTTTTTTTATCTTAGATTTTAGACTAACCGAGACATGTGCCAACAATTCTGAAAGCACAATCTCATCATGCCAGATGAAAAATAGTACACACATTTACCCCCTTAAGGACACATGACATGTGTGACATGTCATGATTCCCTTTTATTCCAGAAGTTTGGTCCTTAAGGGGTTAAGGACAAAACTTCTGGAATAAAAGGGAATCATGACGTGTCCTTAAGGGGTTAAAGGAGCACTATAGGGTCAGGAACACAAACATGTATTCCTGACCCTATAGTGTTAAAACCACCATCTAACCCCCCCTGTTCCCCTCATGCCTCCCTAAATATAGTAAAATCTTACTTGTATTCAAGTCTGGAGTTGTTTACTTTGTCCCGGTTTCCTTTTGACCTACCCACTGCCATCAGCAGAAGTGGTAGCCTGATCCAATCACAATGCTTCCCCATATGTTTGGCTGAGACTGACAAAGAGGCAGATCAGGGGCAGAGCCAGCACAATTCAAACACAGCCCTGGCCAATCAGCATCTCCTCATAGAGATGAATTGAATCAATGCATCTCAATGAGGAAAGTTCAGTGTCTGCATGCAGAGGGAGGAGACACTGAATGTTTGGATGGATTTTAGGCAGCCATGACCCAGGAAGGATCTCTAACAGCCATCTAAGGAGTGGCCAGTGAAGTTATCACTAGGCTGTAATGTAAACACAGCATTTTCTCTGAAAAGACAGTGTTTACAGCAAAAAGCCTGAAGGTAATGATTCTACTCAACAGAACAAATTCAAAAAGCTGTAGTTGTTCTGGTGACTATAGTGTCCCTTTAAGATGATTAAGTTTTTGTCATGACAGATACAGATTAACCCTTTAAGGATGCAGCTTCAGAAGCTGGACATATTCTTAAAGGGACACTATAGTCACCTGAACAACTTTAGCTTAATGAAGCCGTTTTGGTGTATAGAACATACCCCTGCAGCCTCACTGCTCAATCCTCTGCCATTTAAGAGTTAAATCCCTTTGTTTATGAACCCTAGTCACACCTCCCTGCATGTGACTTGCACAGACTTTCATAAACACTTCCTGTAAAGAGAGCCCTATTTAGGCTTTCCTTATTGCAAGTTCTGTTTAATTATGATTTTCTTATCCCCTGCTATGTTAATAGCTTGCTAGACCCTGAAAGAGCCTCCTGTATGTGATTAAAGTTCAATTTAGAGATTGAGATACAATTATTTAAAGTAAATTACATCTGTTTGAAAGTGAAACCAGTTTTTTCTTTTTTCATGCAGGCTTTGTCAATCATAGCAAGGGAAGGTGTGGCTAGGACTCCATAAACAGAAACAAAGGGATTTAATTCCTAAATGACAGTGAATTGAGCAGTGAAATTGCAGGGGAATGATCTATACACTAAAACTGCTTTATTTAGCTAAATTAATTTAGGTGACTATAGTGTTCCTTTAAGGACACAAACAATTTTTGCATATTTTGCTGTTTGTGTTCAACTGCAATTTGCATCTCTCATTTATTGTACCAACACATATTATATACCTTTCTTTTTTAGAAGACAAAAAGGGCTTTAATTTGATGTGACATACATATATAAATGATCATTTATTATAAAAAAATAAAAAAAAATAATAAAAAAAAACTTTTGACAATAATAACGTTTCCTTATGTTCAGCTTAGGAAAAGTCATTAAAACTAAATCAATTTATGTGTCTTGATTTATAGAGTACATACATATATATATATATATATATATATATATATATACACACACACACACATATATATTAATTCTACATATATATATTTATGTAATATTTTGACATAATTAGGTATCTTAATTAATTACAATTAGCGGGAACTGCCTGACAACCCATGCCGAAAGTAAAGGGAATTTAATTTGCTAGCACTATATTTAACCCAATAACTTTCCAAGACACCATAAAACCTGTACATGGGGGGTACTGTTCTACTCTGGAGACTTCGCTGAACACAGATATTAGTGTTTCAAAACAGTAAAATGTATTACAACGATGATATTGCCAGTAAAAGTTAAGTTTTTTGCATTTTTCACACACAAACAGCACTTACACGGACGATATTATTGCTGCGATACTTTTTACCGTTTTGAAACACAAATATTTGTGTTCAGCGAAGTCTCCCGAGTACAACAGTACCCCTCATAGCTAAAGTCGAAGTGCGTTCGACAATTCGAACGCCAGGTGATGCTGTACTATTTGCACGAACGGGCCCATTCGTGCATTCAAATGAGACTTGGTCAATTTCACACAAGAAAAATGTCTGACCGCCCAGCCCAAATCTATGGAACTGTTTTGAGCAGGAAAATGTGTTTGCGGTCGGTCAGAAAAGGACTCCAGACTAACTTTTGAACTACTGGAGGGATTTGCATGATTTTTGAGTATGTGTATATTTCAAGTGTGCTGATTTTGTATGTTTTATGTGAATGGCATGTATATTTTGGAAGTTATTAATATTTTGTAAAAACTGTATATTTTCTGCCTGTGATAATGAAGTTAGTCTATTGTGTTGAGATAATTGTATCACAGGCAGAGGGGAGGATTTCTGATGTCATGAATAGGAGTGTTTAGCTGTGTTGTAATGTATTGATTGGTTGTTCTTCAAAACCCTGTGGGCAGTCCTTTTGTGTAAGAATGTGCATAAAAGCAGAGTGTTTGATTAAAAGTCCTAGTTCTGCTCCTGATACTGTGTGTCGTCCAGTTATTGGGAAACATGATGGGATATTGCTGGATTATATTACTGATCATGCCTGCTACTCTATTGGATTATTTTATTGATTACGGTGGATGTTCTCCTGGGTTACTTATGGGTTCCTGAGCCACACTAGGATTACCAGCAGAAATAGTCTGTGAGAGATCAGCGTTCCGTTACAGGGACGTTTTGTTTATTTACTCTATACCAGCTGATGCAACAAATGACAGGTATATTGATATATTTATTTCTGCTAAACTAGTGAGACAAAGTTAGAATATTATCATAACTACTGACAAATCTGCATAATTCATTTAAAGAAAAGAGGATCTAAAGGTCAATCTTACTTACCATATATGGCACCAAAAACATAATAAAAATTCTGAAAGTAAAATACAAATTCACTGGCTGATTGAGACCTAGTAGAGAACATTATCTGCAATATTTTATTCTCCAGTGTCTGAACATTTATGTGCAATGTATATCTGCAAGCAATTTACTCAAGTAAATCAGACATGATTTATTTCCATATCCATGAAAAATAAGTGTCATTTTCAATAATATTTATATAATGCCAACATATTGTGCCACACTTTACAATATTATAAAGGGGTTTTTAACAGCAAATGAGAAACTATTACAAATTTTGACACTAGATAATGAGGACCCAGCGTGAACAAACTTACAATATTTTCATTATGAAATGTGAGATGTATCTGAGATTTTGCATTTTTCAATGCCATACAGAATGTGGATGTAGTATGTAGTTTTTGCCTAGCAAAATTGCATCAAGGGCTAAAGCATCATGGAAATAGAGTCTCACAATTAAGCTGTGAGAGATACTTTTTGCTCCCAAGCAATGTCTGATGCAACTTCAGAGTTTTTCTCAAGGAATATATATTGGTTTGCATTACAAATAAGAGGAAATTATCCAAGAAAAATCATTGAAGTGGTCTGGGTGCACTGTCCCTGTCAGTTTGACCCTGCAATGTTAATTATTGAAGTTATTAAGAAACTAAAAATCACATTAATTCAATGCTTTTCTATTGGGTTATACTACTGGGCTCGCTGTGCATGATGTCAGCTGGCGTCGGTGGACCGAAGGCGGAGGCAATTTTGTATTCCTAGCCTATATGCTCTGCATGGAAAAAATGTAAAGCTCTAACTACAATATCTAGCTTTTTTCTTTTTTTTTTTGCAAACCTTTTTCCCCAATAAATGCTGTTAGCAACCCAAGTTAAAACAACCAGAACATTAGAACCTTACATACACCAAATGATTTGTTTTCAGTAACATAGAAACATAGAATGTGACGGCAGATAAGAACCATTCGGCCCATCTAGTCTGCCCAATTTTCTAAATACTTTCATTAGTCCCTAGCCCTATCTTATAGTTAGGATAACCTTATGCCTATCCCATGCATGCTTAAACTCCTTTACTGTGTTAACCTCTACCACTTCAGCTGGAAGGCTATTCCATGCATCCACTACCCTCTCAGTAAAGTAATACTTCCTGATATTTTTTTTAATAGAAACATAGAATGTGACGGCAGATAAGATCCTTTGCAGCATCACATTATGCTTTTTGGGGAGGTAATTAAATTAGGACCTCCCATGTGCCTAATTATTTGTTTGCAGTCATAGATTTTGCAGCATTACATTATGTGCTTTTTGGAGAGACATTAAAGTGACTAATATGAAAATAACGTACTGTTAGTGGCTTCCACGTTTTCTTCTAGTTTGCTGAAAGATTTAAGCTCTGTCACCAGCCACGCACAGAGTTTGGTATATTCTGGAGAAAGGGCTCCCTCACTGGCTGCCTGGATCAAGGCTCCTTCATCCATTAGTGCACCTTTATAGCTGAGGAAGAAAGAAAAAAATAAATATTACCAAAATTAACCCTTTCATTACAGGTGACTTGCCAGAACTGTCATTATATAAAGGGAATAGCTGTGATATTTTGTAGTAATTATAAATGACATTATTAATGACTGATTAAATAAATAATGTAATATTTCAACATCAACAGAACTTTCAGAACTAGATATATTAAAGGGGGCAACAGCTGCTTACTCACATCAGTAGGTTTTGACATTAAAGGGTTACGCCAAGATCCCCACCCACTCCAGAGAAATGGTCATGGTGCCTGGTGTTTATATGAGTAGGTCTGTCTGTTTCAGTAAGAAACACTGCAAACACAGAGTAACCAACCAATCTTCTGCTGGCAGTGTAACTACATCTGGAGCAGTTTCAATGAGAGTCATTTACCAGCAAATATTAATTCTGTGCAAAATTAGCATTTGATGCCAGCATGCTGGCAACAGACAGCCAATAGAGGCACCCTCTACGGTCTCCTCCTCCTCCAGCTAGGGCATGAAGTCAGCCAAGGGAGAATTTGACCTCAGCAATGGAAAAGGGATAGGTTTTAGCTTTTTTTCCTCAATTTTGTTTACTTATGTTTGCTTAGGTAAAACAATGGTTTTCATTGGATTAAACCTTTAAGACTGGGTGCAAGGTAGATATGAACGAACCAATTAATTCATCCATAGTTTGACAGGCATTTAATTTGATCAGTGCCGCTGAAAAGAATGTGTGCACAAATCTAGAAAAGGCAGTGTTTAGACTGCTGAGCCTGCAGGGACAGGCTCTTTGCCCCATAACCAATGCATTAGGATGTAGTGGGTCTTGTGCCTAAATTGACCCTTTAACAACCAAATGTAGGGGAGTTGAGGAAGTTTAGGGAATAGAAACTTTTGATCAGCACAAGCTTAATTGAAGCCATATTTCTAAATAATTTTTGATGTGATTATGGGTAGATCAGCCAATGTTATTCTTAAAAAGTATTTGACAAATAATGGTGTTTACTCACGAAACTCAGAATTCTAGGAAAATTAAGTACGAATGGTATAGTCAAGCTATGACATAGCAGAGTTCAAGAAAAGTTTGAGATGACCTATTTTGGCCTAAATCTTGCAAATCAATTTTTAATTCAATGTATTTCAGAGCTTAGAGATTAACCATGAAAATATCTCATGCAAGCCTACTTTGTAAATCAGGAAATTTAGATTTATCTTCATTATACTCTACATGGTTTATTATTTCTGAAATGATCTATTAAAGAAACACTCCAAGCACCATAACCAGATTAACTTTCTGTAAAATCGTGCCTCTGTAGTCTCACTGCTCAATTTTCTGCAATTTACAAATTAAATCACTTTGTTTATACAGCCCTAGTCATATCTCCCTGCATGTAACTTCTACAGCTTTCCTAAATACTTCCTGTAAAGAAAGATCTAATGTTTACATATCCTTTTTTGCACATTCTGTTTCAAGGAATACTATAGTCACCCAGACCATGCAGCTCATTGAAGTGGTCTGGGTGCAATGTCCCTGTGCCCTTCAATCCTGCAATTGAAGTTATTGCAGTTTTAGAGGAATTGTAATAATTAAATTGCAGGAATAAGACATCCTCTAGTGCTGTCAGACAGCCACTAAAGGCACTTCCTGCTTGCTATGCGACTTTTGTCCGCCTAACTGATGCTGGACGTCCTCACATTCTGCATGAAAACATCCAGTGTCAGTAAAATCCGAAAAGGAAAGCATTGCAGCAATGGAAATGGAGTATGTTCCAAGATAGCAGCTGGCATAAAGTGTCAAAATGGCAAATAAAAGTGAACTTTAAAGGACCATTATAGGCACCCAGAACACTTCATCTTAATGAAGTGGTCAGGGTGCCAGGTCCATCTAGGGTTAACCCTAGAGAAAATGCTATGTTTACAAATGGGTTAATCCAGTCTCTAGTGGCTGTCTCATTGACAACCGCTAGAGGCGCTTCTGAGCTTTTCACGGTGATTTTCAGTGCCAGCGTCCATAGGAAAGCATTGAAAATGCTTTCCTATGGACTGGCTGAATGCGCACGGGATCTTGCTGCGCATGCAGCCGCTGACAGCGAAAAGAAAGGAGGAGAGTTGCCCGCGCCGAGGGAGCCTGGAGGGGGAAAACAGGTAAGATTTAACCCCTTTTACCCCCTAGAGCCTGGCGGGAGAGGGGCCCTGAGGGTGGGAGGGACCTAGAGACCCTATAGTACCAGGAAAACAAGAATGTTTTCCTGGCACTATAGTGGTCCTGCTTACTCTTGCTCATTTGCTAACCACAGAGAAATGCGCTGTCTGGTTCCTGGGGGCCACTGCTTCTCTGTAAGATGTGGAATCCCACAATGCTGACCAATCAGCAGCTAGCAGATGTAATGACTGAGCGAAATGTTACCGGGAATACATACTAGGCTCCAGTGAATGCCAAATAACATGGCAACCAAAAATACTGTGTTGCCCTCACTCATGTAATTCCATCTCTGCCTCCTCTCTCTCCCCTGCGCAGCTCTCTGTGCCCAAAAGTGAAATGTAATCACTTTGTCCTAGTACAGCAACAGCGCAGAGGAACAGCAAGCTGATAGTGGCCTAGTCTGACTGCAATTCAGGTCCAAGGGCAGGTGTCAAAACCATGGGATTGTCTGAGCAAAAACAGGACAGAAGGCTACTATGTAACCATAATCAGAATTGAAATATCACAAGGTTCATTCACGAAACAGCAAATTGTAGCAAACTGAAAACCAAAATGAATATATTGGTCTCTGTGGTGTTTCCAAGTTAGCCTTTTTTATATTTTTGCCAATTCAATATAATTTGCATTTTGCTAATATTCCCCAGTTACAAAGGGCATGGAGGACCAAACATGCTTAATATAATATAATATAAGCCATATAGCTTGAACTGATTAGGATTGTCCCAAAAGAGCGGCTATGCCAGTTTTTTTTTATCAATTACTGGGCTGTAGAGGCCATGCATAGGAAGCCCTGCTTCTATCTGTAACCTGCCCTGTCACACAGCCCATACCCCAGATAATGTAACCTGCCCTGACACACAGCCCATACCCCAGATAATGTAACCTGCCCTGTCACACAGCCCATACCCAGATAATGTAACCTGCCCTGTCACACAGCCCATACCCAGATAATGTAACCTGCCCTGTCACACAGCCCATACCCAGATAATGTAACCTGCCATGTCACACAGCCCATACCCAGATAATGTAACCTGCCCTGTCACACAGCCCATACCCAGATAATGTAACCTGCCCTGTCACACAGCCCATACCCAGATAATGTAACCTGCCCTGACACACAGCCCATACCCAGATAATGTAACCTGCCCTGACACACTGCCCATACCCAGATAATGTAACCTGCCCTGTCACACAGCCCATACCCAGATAATGTAACCTGCCCTGTCACACAGCCCATACCCAGATAATGTAACCTGCCCTGTCACACAGCCCATACCCAGATAATGTAACCTGCCCTGTCACACAGCCCATACCCAGATAATGTAACCTGCCCTGTCACACAGCCCATACCCAGATAATGTAACCTGCCCTGTCACACAGCCCATACCCAGATAATGTAACCTGCCCTGACACACAGCCCATACCCAGATAATGTAACCTGCCCTGTCACACAGCCCATACCCAGATAATGTAACCTGCCCTGTCACACAGCCCATACCCAGATAATGTAACCTGCCCTGTCACACAGCCCATACCCAGATAATGTAACCTGCCCTGTCACACAGCCTATACCCAGATAATGTAACCTGCCCTGACACACAGCCCATACCCAGATAATGTAACCTGCCCTGTCACACAGCCCATACCCAGATAATGTAACCTGCCCTGTCACACAGCCCATACCCAGATAATGTAACCTGCCCTGTCACACAGCCCATACCCAGATAATGTAACCTGCCATGTCACACAGCCCATACCCAGATAATGTAACCTGCCCTGTCACACAGCCCATACCCAGATAATGTAACCTGCCCTGTCACACAGCCCATACCCAGATAATGTAACCTGCCCTGTCACACAGCCCATACCCAGATAATGTAACCTGCCCTGTCACACAGCCCATACCCAGATAATGTAACCTGCCCTGTCACACAGCCCATACCCAGATAATGTAACCTGCCCTGTCACACAGCCCATACCCAGATAATGTAACCTGCCCTGTCACACAGCCCATACCCAGATAATGTAACCTGCCCTGTCACACAGCCCATACCCAGATAATGTAACCTGCCCTGTCACACAGCCCATACCCAGATAATGTAACCTGCCCTGTCACACAGCCCATACCCAGATAATGTAACCTGCCCTGTCACACAGCCCATACCCAGATAATGTAACCTGCCCTGTCACACAGCCCATACCCAGATAATGTAACCTGCCCTGTCACACAGCCCATACCCAGATAATGTAACCTGCCCTGACACACAGCCCATACCCAGATAATGTAACCTGCCCTGTCACACAGCCCATACCCAGATAATGTAACCTGCCCTGTCACACAGCCCATACCCAGATAATGTAACCTGCCCACACAGCCCATACCCAGATAATGTAACCTGCCCTGTCACACAGCCCATACCCAGATAATGTAACCTGCCCTGTCACACAGCCCATACCCAGATAATGTAACCTGCCCTGTCACACAGCCCATACCCAGATAATGTAACCTGCCCTGTCACACAGCCCATACCCAGATAATGTAACCTGCCCTGTCACACAGCCCATACCCAGATAATGTAACCTGCCCTGTCACACAGCCCATACCCAGATAATGTAACCTGCCCTGTCACACAGCCCATACCCAGATAATGTAACCTGCCCTGACACACAGCCCATACCCAGATAATGTAACCTGCCCTGTCACACAGCCCATACCCAGATAATGTAACCTGCCCTGTCACACAGCCCATACCCAGATAATGTAACCTGCCCTGTCACACAGCCCATACCCAGATAATGTAACCTGCCCTGTCACACAGCCCATACCCAGATAATGTAACCTGCCCTGTCACACAGCCCATACCCAGATAATGTAACCTGCCCTGTCACACAGCCCATACCCAGATAATGTAACCTGCCCTGTCACACAGCCCATACCCAGATAATGTAACCTGCCCTGACACACAGCCCATACCCAGATAATGTAACCTGCCCTGTCACACTGCCCATACCCCAGGTCTTCCAGTGACTCCAACACGTCATTCTCCAGCATGTCACACTCCATAATGGCAGATATTAGCAGTGTCTGCGCTCCGCTAGGCCCAGTGCCTCTGATGGCGGATCGGCGGCCCCGCTGGAAGATGTGAGCTGTGAGATGTCCCTGGGAGGGGAGGACAGCCTCGGAGTCAGCCGGTGTGACACTCCCCGGTGCTCAGACACAGCCGGTAACCTCCTCTCTCCCCCCCCTCACTCGGCAACTGACAGCAGCAACAGCCTGCCGGGCTGGCAAGAGAAAGGACCCCTCCACTGTCCTATCCACGGCTTTAGCGCGTCAGCGGGCTGCCCTGCTATCCGCCTGCCATGTAAGGAAGCTATTTTCAGGATTTTTTTATGAGACACGAAACATTGAGAGCTAAGGAATGCCAGAAAGTTAGGATTTGAAATGCAGGGATATTAACGACGACATGAGATGGACAAAAACAATACAAATTAACAATGAGAGGAGTCGGGCAATATCTCGGGACACAGCATTTAGGGCTGAGGGCCCCTTTTCCGCATGGGCACACGTGGGGAGAAAGCCAGCGTGCGTCACGTACCCGGCAGCTGTTAGTGAATGAGAGAGCCCGACTAAGGCTCTGTGAATTGAGCTGGCTGCTGCTAAGGAACATCGGAGCCATACAGAGACACGCATGCGCATAACACCATAAGACTGCATATGGCGGCAACATAGTCTGCAGTGCTGTAGTATTTTACAGTGGGGATAGCAGCACATAATTGACAGATAAAGTGCCTGTTGTCTAAGTCCAGTGTACCCAGTGTCTAATTAAAATGACTACATTACTTGATGTGGATGCATGGCAAACTAAGGTGTATTCCATTTGAATCCTCATTTATTTTTGTGTGCATATTTTGCAAGCCCTCCCCTCATACTTTGAGTGTGAGCTTGGAAATACTCCAATCAGAGGCTTCTCATTGAGAAAAGCACGTGTGAAATGCTTTTCTGTGCTTCCAAGTTAGCTATATTACTGCTGATTGAGAAGGCGGGGAGACAGCAGAGCTTGTGCAAGGACTTTTGTCTACACACGCGAAGATGCATTTTGCTGTCTCCCATACATTTTTCTTGCTGTTTCTTAACAAAATGTTTTTGAGGTGTGACAAAAAAAAAAAAAAAAACAACTAGATTGTAATTTTAAATATAATAGTATTATTTTATATAGTGTAGAAGAGGATAGTAAATTATATAGATTTTCACAAGCATACAAAATACTTAAAGGTCCACTATAGGCACCCAGACCACTTCCGCTCAATGAAGTGGTCTGGGTGTCAGGTCCATCTAGGGTTAACCCTGCAGTTGTAAACATAGCAGTTTCAGGGAAACTGCTATGTTTACATGTTTACACTAGGATTAATCCAGCCTCTAGTGGCTGTCTCACTGACAGCCACTAGACGCCGCTTCTGCGATTCTCCCTGTGAAAATCACAATGAGAAGATGCTGACGTCCATAGGAAAGCATTGGGTAATGCTTTTCTATGGGCAGTTTGAATGCATGTGCATTTGGTGATGACGTCGGCAGGAGGAGAGTTCCCCGGAACTGGAGAAAGGTAAGTGGCTGAAGGGGTTTTAACCCCTTCAGCCCAGCGTGAGGCGGGCCATGAGGGTGGGGACCTAAGAACTACATAGTGCCAGGAAAATGAGATTGTTTTTCTGGCACTATGGTGCTCCTTTAACTATAGAATAGCTAAATGTTATTTAAAATGAGAACTTGAGCTTTGTTTTTCTAACGTTAGAGGTACAAACGGGTATTCCTGACCCTATACTGTTAAAATAACTATTTAGGCCCCTTGCATCCCCTCAAACCCTTAACTAGAGATGTCGCGAACCGTTCGCGGCGAACTCCGGTCAGCTGACACATCCCGGCCAATCTCCAGCAGACCCTCCCTCCCAGACCCTCATACTTCCTGGACAGCATCCATGTTGAAGGCAGCTTCAACATGGATGCTGTCCAGGAGGTGGGAGGGTCTGGGAGGGAGGGTCTGCTGGAGATTGGCCGGGATGTGTCAGCTGACCAGAGTTCGCCACGAACGGTTCGTGGTGAACCGTTCGCGAGAAGTTTGCGGACGGTTCGAGACATCTCTACCCTTAACTAAGTTTAAAACATACCTTGTTTTCCAGTAGCGTGTGGGTCCGCTGGCTCTGCCTCTGACACGCCTCTTTGGCTGACATCAGAATTGGTGATCTCAGACAATCACAATGTTTTCCTATAGAAAGAATTGGATTGGCTGGCATGATCAATTTTGATGATCTCAGAAATGGAGGTGGGGTGGGGGGTGGAGCCAAACACCACCCAGGCCAATCAGCATTTTCTCATATAGATACATTGAATTAATGCATCTCTATGGAGAAAGTTCAGCAGGGATGCTGAACATCAGCACTGACCCAGGAAGCACCACTAGTTGCCCTCTGGGGAGTGGCCACTAGAGATGTTCCTAGACAGCAATGTAAACACTGCATGTTTGGCCGATATTCTGTATTTTCAGCAATATCGGTATTGGCCAATAAAGATACCGATTTTGCCGATAATGCAGACCAGGGTTGCCATCAGGATCCTTGGGGGCCCTGCACACTCTTACTTTCCTTCTCTGTTGCTGCCTTCAGCTCCCCTGTCTAACTCCCGCAGCCGTCAGAGCGTTGCCACGGGTTACCATGGCAATGCTCTGCGCGGCACGCAGGCCACGAGAGTTAGACAGGGGAGCTGAAGGGAGCTGATTGGAAGGGAAGTAAGAGTGTGCTGGGCCCCCCAGGACCGCCGCAGGCCCCCCATGGAATGCCATATCGCCCTCCCTGGCCAGGTAAGAAGCCGGGAGGGGGGACTAAAACAAAATGTAAAAAAAACTTTAAAAAATAAAAATGCCCCCCCATTTTACACACATTACATAGCTACACAAACACTCACTGCACAAACACACACTACACAAACACACACACTCTGCATTCATTATATACACACTACACAAACACACACACTGCATCCACTATACACACACTACACAAACACACTGCATTCACTATAAACACACACTACACAAACATACACTTTGCATTCATTATATACACACTACACGAACACTCACAGCATTCACTACACAAACACACACTCTGCATTTAGTATATACACACTACACAAACAAACTGCGTTCACTATATACCCACACTACACAAATACACACTGCATCAACTATACAAACACACACACAAACACTGCATTCACTATATACACATTACACAAAAACACACACTGCATCCACTACACAAACACACACACTGCAGTCACTAATCAGAAACTCTCACTGCATCCACTACACAAACACATATTCCTGAAAACATAAAAATTTCTGACTGGCATGTATATTTTGTGCATTTACCTGAATAAAAAAACGATTTGCAAATAAATAAATAAATAAACATGTTCAGTTAACAGTATTTGTGTAGAAATAGTTTATTTTTTCAAAATGGTAAATGTACAGAATATCGGTATCGTTAAGTTATTGGCCTGAAAGTTCACAGACTGTCGCCATTGGTATCTGTTCAAAAAAAATTGGTCGAGCCCTAGTTTACAGCAAAAATCCTGCAGGGACTGGTTATACTCACCAGAACAACTACATTAAGCTGAATTTGTTCTGGTGATTATAGTGTCCCTTTAAGTACAGGGCCCTCTCTTTAAGAGATAAAGTCATTTAACTCTCTTATCTCACATTGCCTTGGTTTTGCCATAGCTGCCATTCTCCCCTAGCTGAGATTACAGTTACTGATATTCTCAGCCATTCCAAGGTTCTCCATTGAGAAGCACTGAAGGACTTACTGAACATGCATGGCAGTCACCATCCTGTGCCAATCAACATCTCCTCGGAGAGACATAGTAATGCCTTGTCGTGCAAAGACACAGGACCATAATAAGAAATGCCTGTAGTGAGTGATTGATTGACAGCCACTATAGATGTACTCGGGCCAATTGTAAACTCTGCCTTTTCACCAAAACGACTCCCTTAAGTTATAGAGATTCTGCTGCTTAGAGTTTTCCTTTAAAATGTTTTTCTTTAGAGAAAAATAAGAGCAATCTGTGGTTTTGTAAAGTTTTTTTTTTTTTTTGCATTTATACGACAGACCTAAATTATAAAACTACAAACAATGAAAAAATAATGAATGAAAGTGTGTGAAATTGTGCAAAGTTTCTTTTAGCTAGATTATATTAGCTAAAGGTGTTCACATGTTACTGGAAAGTTAGATATCAGTATCAGTTGAGTACTTACTAAAGTTTACTGACTGATATAGCTACATCTAGTCTCCTGCTTAGTCTCATTAGATGTCATGTACTTCCAGTTAATGCTAATTGGCTGATGGGTACTTTTCACTGAGCCTTATCAGGGATTACACATTGTGACGGACCCTACGTCAATCGATGCTTAATAGTGCTTACCTAGGACCATCAGCACCACTCCAGACACCATAAGCACTGCAGATCCCACGAACTGCCGCAGCTTGACTGGGAACGCGCCGTCCTCTACCCACCCTGGACCTACGACAAGGCTCCAGGTTCCAGTGGGTGAACCTCTCCTCCAAGAGAGCGTAGCAGGAACAAGCTTTTAAAAGAGCTTAGTGATTATAGCTCAGGGGAGTATACAGAGTATAGCAATCCCCCAGTGTAGATGCAGCCTTTTCCCCCACACATGAGACGAGGCTTTATGTTGAGGGTAAAACAGGAACTCAGCAGATCTGAGGGTTTATTGTCTTCTATACAGTTTTCCCCACAAGGTTACCACCCAGGTGGACCTTGTGGAGCACAGGACACAAAGTCACAAAACCAATCAAAACAGTATTGTACAGTTAGACACTCCCAGATAATGTACACAAACCCTCCCCTCGGCCTGTGATACAATTAACAAAGACAATGGGCTAACTAAATTAACTCTAAACATAAAAAACATACATTTTTACAAAACCCCCAAAGTACCCCAAAATACAACATATCCCCACAAAAGTCACATCCCCTGATAGCCCCGATCTGGGTGAACAACAAATCCAAAAATCACCCAGATCGGTTCAGGGGTTCAGGAATTTCCTTGGTCTTATTTTTGCCCCACCATGCACCTGGTCCCATGCCCAAAACAGTTCCATACACTCGACGACAAAACACTGCTGGAAAATTTAAGATGGCTGCCGCCACATGTTTGAAAGGGGCATTGTGCTAAGTCCCAATATGCACAAATAGTGTTTTTAAAAGGCAATATACCCCAGGGGCCATAGTCACAGGGCAAGAGGCTGGCAAGCAGGCCTCTCCA